TGCTCATGTTGAAACCACCGCAAAGCGCGAAACCAATGTGGGCTGCAACAGGCCGAGCTAAGTATCCTGCAAGCGCCCAGAGAATGCGGGCATTTTGATCGCCCAGACCAGAGTCGACCAACTAGAGCGGGAGGGCCATTGAGCAGCCCTTTGCGCTCTAATTGATGCGAGCCGCCGCCAGCCGGCCATAAATCCGTGCCGCGTCCGTGGGGAACGGCGGCACTGTCGCAATGATCGAAATCCTGGCGTGCACCGCAGATCCCTCGGAGGTGCTGGCCCCCGACGAGCCTTCGGGCACAGCTAGCGCCCATGTGCCCTCGAAGCCGAAGTCGCCGACCTCCGTCTGGGAGCTGGCGAGCTTATCGTCATCGGTGATGCGATGCTCCTGCAGCGCGATCACAATAGTGCTAGCACTAAAAGCTTCCAAGCACCCAGCACACCCAGCAACATAACCCGATGAGATGACGTTGACTGTCGCGATCAAACATTTTCCCATTGCAACAAAAAACATGTTCAACGCAGTCCAGCTAGAACGGCGAGCAGCCGCCCTTGGCCATCCGTCGCGCGCTCCCTCGCATAGCTTGCTCGGTGGCGAAGGCCCCGAACGGCGCCATGATGCCCTGCAGCTCGGGGCACGACACCTCGTCGGGAGCCCGCGGCGACTTGGCAACGGGACCCACCGCAACAACATCGCCAAGAAGAGCACCAGGAGCCTGCCCAGCCGCCGCAGCTGGTGCTCCAGGATGCACACGAGGCCGTTTGGCCACACTGAGTTCGGTGAGCTGGCCGCCGATGCCGTCGGCGAGCCGTTTCTTGGCTTCGGTGTTTAGCCCGTTGCCCTCGGTGAGCTTGCGCAAGATCTCCCCCAGGTTCGCCGCCGACACGCCCAGCGCAAGCAACGAAACATTCGCCGCCTGTGCGGGCTGAGGCGCGCGCCCGATCGGGGCTGCAACTTGCCCACGTCGCCCTCCAGCTGCACCTGCTGTTGCTGCAGTTTTTCAAAATTCTTGTTGGCCTCGTCGATCGCCTGCTGAACCTCTATCATGTACGCGGCGGCGAGCTTCTGGGCAGCTACTGCCTTGGCGACCTTGGCCGCGCCAGCCTTGACCCGATTGGCTATGGCGTGCACCTGTGTGTGGAGCGGCTTGGAGTCGAGGGGCTTCTTGTTGGCCTCGGCCAGCCGTTCCCCGAGCAAGCGCTATTGCTCCTCGGCGCCCCTGCTTGGCGACGGCGAGGTTCGCCTCGAGGGGCATGACCTCCGCCGCCAGCAGGGACTCTCCATCACCCCCGTCGCCAGTGTCGACCAGCATGCCGCCGCCAGCGGGGCGAGCGTCTGCCTGCGGCGGCAGCTGCTCTTTGAGCTGCTCCAGCTCCGCCAAGGCGGCCTGCAAGACCTTCTTGGTCTTCTTGGACGGAGGCCGCGAGCCGCCATCAGCCTGGCCGCTCGCTCCAGCACTCTGCCCCTTGAACCAAGGCTGCCGAACGCGCGTGCTGGGCTTGGACCCAACAGCACCAGGGCATCCATAGATGGTTGATTTGCGCAGGCGGCAGCCATGACACTTGAGGTTACTACCCCAATTGACCAGCTTGTGACCAGTGCGCGGATTAAGACAAGAAAGACAAAGCCAATCTTGGCGCTCTTTCGCACGAGCAACGCCATGGGCCATCGGCCAAATGTAGAAGAACTGGACATAAGCCGAAGTACCCGTAACCTTGAACAACTGGTACGATACACAGACTGAATGAGAAGGGTTGGGGACGCGTGATCCAATCCCAAGTCCACTGAGCCTCCCGCTTCGGACTTGAGCCGAAATGGCAACGGAGAACATAGGAGGAGGGAGGGAGGATGGAGGAGGGAGGAGGGGGGGGAAACAAGCTGGGCGTGCCAGCGCCATACCTCACATCGTACCCCTTCTTCCCATCCCTTTCCATTGAGCTGATGTTGCCTCTATGCGCGGACGCGTGTCATGTCCCTAAAGTACCCCGATCGTGTTGTGCGCAATTGGGAAGGGGAAGCTGCGTACACATGAGGAGGAGGAGGAGGAGGTGGCGGGTGAGCAGGAGAATGAGCAGGAGGAAAAGAAGGAGGATGAGGAAGGTTAGCGAGAACGAGCAGCAGCAGCAGCAGCAGCAGCAGCAGCAGCAGCAGCAACAGCATCAGCAGGAACTGTATTGGAACGAGTGGGAGGAGCAGGAGGACACTGGGAAGGTGGAGGGAAAATGCGCGGGCCGACAACGATGAAAAAAGACCTGGATCCAGAAAAGAGCCCGGGCTGGGGCAAGTGCGCAAATCTGAACGACGGGAGCAAAGCCCCGATCCGAACATGAGGCCCATGCTGCAACGGGCGCACTTTGAAAAACCCATGCAACAGTTGGATTGTAGACGTAAGCATCAGATACAGCAGCTTATGAACGACTGCGTAAAGAACAATACCTGGAGAGGGCCGATCATCTTTCGCACAGAGTCAGGGGAGAGAGAGCAGAGAGGAGTACTTCTCATGTGCACCTGTAAAGGGGGGGGAGGGAGAACTGGCTCCCCGGGTTTAGGGGGGGGGAGGGGAGAGGAGAGGTGAGGGACGAGGAGGGGGCGAGAGGAGGACACGCCCGCCCGCCCCGCGCGCTCAGGAGCGCCGAGGGGGTTGGGGGGCAGGGCCTGGGCACTCTTCGCCAGGGCCAGCCGCATCGCGACGGACGCCTTGCTCCTCGCCTGCCAGGGGCCCCCGCCGACCGCGGCGCCGCCGCCGTCACCCCGGGATCTCCGACGGCATGGCTGCTCCAGCCGGCGGCTTCCCCTCGACTTCGGCCTTCGGGGGCCCCTCTCGAGGGCCCACGGGGGCCATCCGAGACGGCCCCGGGACGACAGATTGGCACAAGGACCTCTTGAGCCGCGGACGGGAGAAACCGATCCGCGGATGCCAGGGCCCGGTCGTCGCCGCCGCCGCCGGAGGCTCCCACGAGGCCCCCAGGGGCCGCTCATGGCCGGGCAGAGGGCCAGAGACGTCCGAGGTGACAATGACAAAAGCCGGCAACGACGACGACGAAACCGACGAAGCCGACGACGACGAGGAGGAGGAGGAGGACAACGACCATGGCGGCGGTGGGCCGTCGTCACCGTCGTTCCGCTGCGCGAGGAGGGATGGTCGGAAGCGTCGCCACGTGTTCGGCACTGAGCGGGATCAGGAGGATGGAGCAGCAGATGGAGAAGGGAGGGGAGAAGAAGAGGTGACGGGGGAAGGAGGAAGAGTGGGTAAGCAGGAGGGGGAATGAAAGGAGGAAGGGGAGAGGCAAGAGTGGGAGGAGCAAACGGGGAGGGGCGGAGGGGGAGGGGAGTAGAAGGAGGAATGATGATGGAGAGGAGGTGGAGTGGGGAAGGCGGATGTGGGGGATGAGGGAGACCATGGGGAACCAGGGGAAGGGGCCTCTTCACCTTCGTCCCCCTCAGTTCCCTCCTCCTCCTTCTCCTTCTCCAACTCCTGCCCCGTTGCCTCTTCGTCCCGATACCTAGGGAGACTCATTTTCGAGTCGCCAGTACCTGAAGCACTCGACCCCTTCTCCAAGACCGTTTTTTCGGCCTGGGTACTTTTGTTGGCGGCCGGAGGGCCCGAGAAAGGCCACCCAAAACCGAAGACGCCAAAACCATTCACCGCGATATCGTGGAGTCGCTAGAAGCCCAGGTTTCTGGCCACCTTCCTGCCCCTCGTCGTCTCCCTTCCTCCTCGCAGTAGACCTCGGGATCACTCCTGAGCGGATCCAGCCAAGCAGACGAGGGCGCCCTAGGAGGCCTTCCCAAACCCAAAATATCCACGATCCTGCATCCTCCTCCTCGCCAGGAGGAGCAGCTCACGCGGCGAAAAAAAAATTGGAAAAAGAGGATGTGACGAGGAGGGTGAAGGAAGGGCGATGAGGGAGGAGGTGGGATGCTGATGCTGCTGATGATGATGTTCGTGATGATGATGATGATGATGATGATGATAATGATGATGATGATGATGATGATGATGATGATGATGATGATGATGATGATGATGCTGATGCTGATGCTGATGCTGATGCTGATGCTGCTGCTGCTGATGATGATGATGATGATGCTGATGATGACGCTGAGGATGATTCAGAGTATGACTATGATGACGATGAAGGGATTATAATCGTAGAGCATGAGTGTTGATGTGGAGCATGACAGTTTGAAGGGGGGTCGTGGAATTGTCCTTTGTCTGGAGCCTCGGGGCCCTGAGGGTCGTGCGGATTGTGGGCCAAGTTCCCGGCCTAGTGCCCCTGGCCCCGCAAAACGGGAGGGCTCGGTGGCTTGCTGCCGGTTTGCCCCCGTATGATATTGCCCTCGCGTGTGCCGCACGGCCTGCTCCGCAACGGTACCATGGCTCCAATCGTCTCAGATTCTCGCGGGGAGAGGGCGGACGGCCCACCCCGCAGCAGGGCTCGCGATGGTGCCCTGAGAGGGAGCCCGTGGCTCCACCCGTGGAACGAAGTCGAGTGCGAGGCCGCGGCAGGGCTGCCCAGGGAGCAGCTGGCCGCGGGGCGGTGTGTGCCGTGCGCCTCGCGCGGTGCGCGTGGCGTGCCTGCTGGTGCGGCGCTGGCGATGGTGGTGCCAGTCTCCGCGGAGGCGAGGAGCGCTGAGACCGAGGCGCTGCGCGGCGCGGGCGCGGACGTATCGGAGGATGACGTGTCGGAACTAGTGCTGAAGGTCCGCTCCACGCACAATGCTGGACGTGCGCCTCGGTCCAAGAACGACGAGGCGAAGCGGCTCGAGATGGCGCTGGACCCGGTGGCCGTCCGCCTAGCTGTGGGGAGCCCCGAGCTCCCTGGCCACGAGATGGCGAGTGCCCTCTGGTGGTCCACGGAGGCCGCCACCTTCGGCCTGGCCACGAGATGGCGAGTGCCCTCTGGTGGTCCACGGAGGCCGCCACCTTCGGGACCCAGGCTGAGAATCGGATACGACGAGTGGGCGCTGACGAAGCTGGTTGGGAGCGAGTGGCAGACAGGATCTGGGCCCGAGCGACGGGGGATGACGGCGACGAGCAATCCCTGGACTGGGTGCTGCACATCGGCGCCGGGCTCCTCATAGCGTGCGGGCTGGTCGTGCTGCTGGCGGAGTCGGGGCGTCACCGCGTGGCGGGAGCCGCAGGCGCGCTGTGCGGAGGCCTCCTGCTGTGGCGCCGCCTGCCTGGGCACGTACGTAGGCGCCTGGTGGGCCCGCTGGGGCCGCCGCTCGGCGTTCGCCGCGGCTCTCTGCAGTGGCGGGGACGGGCTCGACGCCAGGGTGCCGACAGCGCTGGCGAGGCAGGCGGCGCCCCTGGCGAGGCGACGGCGGCGAGCGGCGAGGCGGCGTCTGAGCAGCGGTCAGCGCCGCAGTCACCGCCGCCCGGCCTCCCCGCGCTCCCGCGTCCGCCCTGGGCCCCGCCCGCCGAGGGCGCTGGACTCTGGGCGGCGCCCGAGAAGCCGGGGCCCAGGACGCAGCCCTGCGGGCGTTCGGCGAGGGGGAAGAGGTGACGGGCCCCTTCAGCCAGACGGCGGCCCAGCAGCTTGGTGGCGGGGGCGCCGCCGCTGCCTGCGGGGCCGCCGCCCTCGGGGCCCACGTGCCCCACTCCCCCGCCGACGCGGGGAAGCTGGGGCGGGAGGCGCAGATGGTGCAAGCGGCCAGGCGGCCCCAGCATCGAATCGATCAGCCGGATCGGGTCGACCGGAGCATCGAATCGGCAGAAATCGGCAAAAGCCGGCAGCCAAATCGAAATCGGCTCAGATCGGCAAGTCCGAGCCGGATCGAGTCGGAAACCGGACCGCGTCAAGCCGGATCGGAATCGAAATCGGACCCCCCCCTGGGGGGGGTTTGGGTTCCCCCCTGGGGGGGGGGGGGTCCCGGGGCTTTTGGAAAACCCCCCCTCTGGGGGGGGTTTGGGGTCCCGGGGCTTTGGGAAAACTCCTCCCTGGGGGGGTGGTGGTGTCCTGGAGCTTCTGGAAAACCTTCCCCTGGGGGGGGGGTCGGGGTCCCGGAGCTTTTGGACACCCCCCTCCCCTGGGGGCGGTTTGGGGTCCTGGGGTTTTTGGGCACCCCCTCCTCTGGGGGGGGGGGTCCTGGAGCTTCTGGAACCCCCCCTGTGGGGGGTTTGGGGTCGTGGAGCTTTCGGAAAACCCTCCCTCTGGGGGGGGGGGGTCCCGGAGCTTTCGGACCCCCCCCGATGGGGGGGGGGGTCCCAGGGCTTTTGGACCCCCTCCCCTGGGGGGGTTGGGGACCCGGAGCTCCCCAGGGCTTGTGGAAAACCTCCCCCTGGGGGGAGGGGGGGTCCCGGGGCTTTTGGACCCCCTCCCTGGGGGGGGGGTTGGGGTCCCGGGGCTTTTGGAAAACCCCTCCCGGGGGGGGGGGGTCCGTGCGAACCCTGGTCCCGGACCATTTGCCCAAGGAGGGTTTCTCAGGAAACCTGAAGATCTAAAGATGTAAAGATCTAAATCACATGTGTCCATACGCGGTGGGGGGTGTGGTGGGGGAGCTGGACGAGGGGGAGGGGGAGCGGGAGGATGAGGAGGAGAAGGAAGAGGAAGACGACGATCATTGGGGAGAGGAAAAGCAGAAAGATAACGAAAAACGAAGTGGAGGAAGAGGGGAGGAGCAGTGGGAATGTGGTGAGGGAGCCTGAAAGTGCAACCGCCGCCCCGCCGTCCCCACAGGCCCCGTCGACCCCACAGGGCCCCGTCGACCCCACAGGCCCCCAGGGGATCAGGAAAAGCGAATTTTTCAGGAGCGAGTTTGGTTGATTTCGGCCGTACTGGTAGAAGTTTGTATTGGCTCACGTTGTAGGAAAACTGTGAGGGCCCCGGAGACAAACTAGATTTTCAAGCCCCTCGATTCTAGAAAAAACATCCGAATCTCAGGCACGCGCGTATTTCGACCCGAAAGTATGCAAATTCGACCCGTATGTGTTCAATTGCCATGATGTTCTGGAAGGACAAAACTCTCGCAAATGTTTGAAAACATGGTTTCCGAACTTGTAAAACATTGACGCCGCGCGTGGCACCACGCATTGTTTGCTTGTCAGTCGTGTTTTGAAAGGGGGTCGCTATCGCATTTTTTCCGAGGAATTCTGGGGCGCATCGTAGTGCAAGGCGACAATTCGGAAGTGTACGGAAACGTCGGTTTCATTATTTGTGAGGTTTGTCCCATGCGGTGGTCTGTGGGTCACGTGCGTCGGTTCCTCGAGAAAACGTACACCGTGTCTATGAAATTGTGACGATCGACCCATTCATCGTTCTCGTTTTTTTTCAAGTGAGGCGATTAACCGAATACTCATGCGTCCTTATTAATAAGGACACGTTAGCTGCACCGAGCAGGTTGGTGACGCTTCTCATCACCATGCGCGGCCGATGTGTTTGAAATTACAGGTAACGTTATTGCCTTTTTTTCCAGATTTGCATTGCAAAAGGCGAACTTGTGAGAGATGCACGCGCGCGGGTATGAAGCGCCCGACTTATCGACCTACGTTTTCGTACGCGTTCATGTGTTAGGAATCCTGCAGCAAACAGTGCGTTTCACGCAGGCTTATATAGATAGCATAACTGTTGTGACCTCCTGCTCCTCCTGATCCCACGGCGTCGGGTGATCTATAAATGGCGAGGATGTCTCGAGCGAAAGCGAGGCTCCTGACTAAAGCGAAAGCGAGGCTCCCACCAGGAAAAAATGTAAAACACAAGCTTTTGCTCACTACAGAAATCTATTGAGGTACCTGGTTCGGGGCAAGGGTTTTGGGATCCCGATCCAAGGGGAATTCCAAGGATTCGGCCCGCGAGCGTGCAACAACGACATTGATCACCAAGGTTATTCCAGGACCAGAAAGCTGGTAGTACGCAAAAGCTGTTCGGTCTGGTTTGAGCGTATGCAGATGGCTTACGTCATCCCGCCGAACCCTCAGAAGACGCGGGTGCTCGCGAAAATCGTAGAAGCTATCTGCCCGCAGAATCCAACGACACCACCGCAGAATGTAGATAAAGGCCCCGAAGAAAAGCAAACGATTCCAACCGAAAACGCGAAAAAAACGCTATTGCTCACTAAGCCTTTTTCAGTGCCAAAAACCTGTTAGTGAGCAAGAGTTTTTGTTTGTAGCTTGTTTTTGAGCACATGCGAATGGCTTGGGCCATCCCGCGGATATCTCAACAGAAGGTGGTGCTTGCAACGATCGCGGGATCATCTTGCGCCCCAGGGGCGTTTTCAATGGATATGAAACTTTGCGGAGGGATCGCCATCTATGCCGTTGGCGACATGCGCCGCATGACGCACATCTGTATCATCGGTGCTAACGTGATCGCAACCGTCTTGGCTTCAAGGCAGAGTGGCGCCATAGCGCGCTCAGTGCGCCCCTCGGGCAGGGGAAACGCCCGTCGCGGGCGCAGCCAGTTTGCGCGCTCCAAGAGGATGTCTTGGGACGAGGGGGAGCGCGGGCGAAGCCGAAGCCCGCGGCCAAGCCCGCGCGCGACCCCTGCGCCTTCTCCAGGCGCGGTGTTCTCCCCAGGCAAGTACAAGGATAGCATCTTCCAGAAGTTCGGCCGCAGTTCGTTCGAGCGCCCTCGCGGACCGCTTCACTGCCGCGGCCGACGACGTGGACATGGGCGACGAGGAGATGTCGCTGAACGACGAGGTCTCGAAGACGCACGCTGCCGCGCAGAAGCTGGTGGCAAGGAACAACGATCGCCTCGGGAAAAAGTACGACGAGCTATGCGCCGTGAAGACCATTGTTGATGAGATAGAGCGGGGCGGCGCCCGCGTCCACGATCTCTTCCTCCTCCGCGCGTTCATGGCCGTCTTCGGGGGCCCGAAGAGCCCGTGGCGCGCGCATGACGGGCAGGCGTACCGGTACCACAATGGAGCTTGGAAGCACGCCGCCGCGATGCACGTGCAGCAGGCGCTGCGCATGGAGAAGGCAGTGAACCAGGCGGACGCGATCCTTCTCCGCATGAGCAAGGACAAGAACGTGAGGCGACCGTCGCGGGACGAGGGGTGGCTCCTTGACTACGCGAGCCCGGCCGCAGCGGCGCAGGCCGATGGGGATGATGACCCAAATGAGAGCTTCTCCATCGCGCGCAAGATGCTCCGCGAAACGCTGACGAGGTTTCTGACTACCGGGAACAACAACATCCTCAGGACCTTCTGCAAGTGGTGCGACCAGCAGAAGCGGGCGGAGCCTCGCCTAGCGTTCAAGGACGCGCGCCTGAAGATCGAGCCTGACAAGGCAGCTGAAAAGATGGACAAGAGCCCCGAGGTCAATTGCTACGCGTACATGGACTTATCCATCAAGTTCAAGCCTCCTGCGGCTGACGTGGAAAGGTACGACCCGATGATGGCCGCCCTCTGCGGCGATGACGCGGAGTCCAAGGAGATCGAGGGCGTCGGCGAGGCGTTGGCGCTGATGCGCCAGCGGCAGCCGCCTCGCGCGCGAGTTCGAAAAGGGAAAGGTCAGTCGCCAACAATACAAATCTAAATATCTAAACATCTGAATCGGCGAGGCCGTGGTTTTCAAGTACTGAGATATTTTGATTGCTGGATCGCCCCGCGGCCGCAGGATCTAAATATTTAAATATCGAAATACCTAAATCGGCGAGGCCGCGGTTCTCAAGCATTTGGCATTTAGATCGGCCGTTCGCCCCGCGGCCGCTGGATCAAAACATTTAAATATCTAAACATCTAAATCGGCGAGGCTGCGCATTTACGTATTTAAAAATTTAGATCGGCGGTTCGCCCCGTGGTCACAGGATCTAAATAGCTAAATATCGAAATAGCTAAAACCGCAGCCTCGCCGATTTAGCTATTTAGATATTCAGATCGGCGGTTCGCCCCGCGGCCACGGGATCTAACATCTAAATATCTAAATAGCTAAAACCGCAGCCTCGCCGATTTAGATATTTAGATATTTAGATATTGAGATCGGCGGCTTATCCCGCGGCCACGGGATCTGAATGCCTAAATATCTAAATAGCTAAAACCGCAGCCTCGCCGATTTAGCGATTTAGATATTCAGATCGGCGGTTCGCCCCGCGGCCACGGGATCTAATATCTAAATATCTAAATAGCTAAAACCGCAGCTACGCCGAGTTAGATATTTAGAAATTTCGATATTTAGATCGGCGGTTTATCCCGCGGCCACGGGATCTAACTATCTAGATATCTAAATAGCTAAAACCGCAGCCTCGCCGATGTAGATATTTATATATTTAAATACTTAGATATTTAGATCGGCGGTTCCCCCCGCGGCCACGGGATCTAATTATCTAAATATCTAAATATGTAGATATCTAAAACCGCAGCTACGCCGAGTTAGATATTTAGATATTTAGATATTTAGATCGGCGGTCCCCCCCGCGGCCACGGGATCTAAACATCTGAATATCTAAAAAGCTAAAACCGCAGCCTCACCGATTTAGATATTTAGACATTTAGATATTTAGATCCCGCGTCCGCGGGGCGAACCGCCGATCTAGATATCCAAACACCTGAAACCGCAGCTACGCCGATTTAGATATTTAGAGAATTGGATATTTAGATCCCGCGGCCGCGGGGCGAGCCACCGATCGAAAGAGCTGAAGCTTCGTAGTGGACAGGGTTTCTTCGGCTCGGTTTGAGCGCGTTCGTTTGGCCAGCAGGTCT